GCCCCCCCCCCCCCCCCCCCCCCCCCGCTCCAGCAAATCGCGCGACGTCGCGCGACCTTGTGGTGAGCAGGGTAAGCCCTTAGGTGCGTGTCACGCGGCTCGGTGAGCCAGGCACCCGCACAGCCAGGCTGGTGGGAGAATTCGCGTTCTTTAATCAGCATTCAACCAACTTCGAACCATGTTCATGTTGCCTAAGGTGGAATTGAATTCGAGCAACCAAAAGGGGGAGCCAATCACTTTGCCTTTTGTTTGCCGGAGAGTTAACCCAAGAAATGACCAGACACTTTGGCAAAATGACTTTGGAAGTGCCAGTTGATTCGCTGAGTCCCGCTCCCAAGGACGTGCCGCTAAACTGTGCGAGGCAAGGCCACCTGTCTGGTCAGGAAGACCAATAAACAAAAAAATTCCGCCAACCTGTCGATTTATGACCTTGTCGAATATCAAATTGACCGTTGTTATCATCCTTCAACAATCGGGATTATACATCATAATTTTTACATTAGCAGATATAGCTACTGAAATGGGAACGGCGCGACGGCAGTCTGATGCAACAGACAGGTCGACACCGAATGGAGAGAGCATAGAAGAACCTAGCAAAGATATCAGGTAGTAATCATAGGCGGCAAGAGGCCTAATGCAGATAATCTGATGCTATATCACGAACCTCGATGGGTGATCAACTTCTGTGACATTCTTGTAGATGATCAAAAGCCTCTATCTGATGAAAGCTCCCTTTCCTATAACATGGATGGTGGCCTCAGGCATCCAGCTGATATCTGATATGTCATAGTAGGGTGCGCCAAAAACCGTAAAACCGTAAAACCAAACCAAACCAAACCAAACCAAACCGTAAATGGTTTGGTTTTTAGGGCCAGTTTTAGAAACCATTGCGGTTTTGGTTTTCGAGGTTTAAACCGTAATGGTTCTTGGGGCCCTAATGGTTTGGCAAATATTGTAAACCAGGTGGGTCCTTATCACTATATATTTTATTGGTGACCTCACGTAGTCAAGAGGAGCAAGAAGAGTGTAGTTTGGCTATAGCGGGTCACCTATCGCTACGGTCGTAGACCGTAGCGTCAGATAGGGCCCAAATGACCCGGGCCAAACTAGGATGGTGGAGGGGACGGTGGTGGAAGTAGTAGAGACAGCGGGGCCGGCGAGCGTGTCTGGAACTGGTGATTAAGCTTATATAGAACTGACGTGTTCGTCGTAAAATACACACTAAACGCCTCCGAGGTCCATCTCCCTAGCATCTAAATCTAGTCGTCAAGTATCCCACTATCGTGCGTATGCTAGGCTGCCCTAGGCCTTGACAAGTGTAGCTGCACCTC